AGCTGGAGAGTCCAAAATCAGACTCCCTTCTGCATAGAAACCAATCAGCTTCTAACCTCAGCTTGTTCAATGAAGCTTTGGCAATGAAACCTGGAAGCTGATTGGTTTCTATGCAGAAGTGAGTCTGATTTTGGACTCTCCAGCTTTAGTAAATAAACCCCTTGATGTCTCACTTTTGAGACAGAGAAAGGGACTAAGGACAGAGATTCCCCAGTTCCTTTCTCTGCATCCTCAACTGCACTTGACAGTGAATTAATGGGAGTGCTCAGTGCTGAGTGGCTAACTGTTCATTTACAAACTGAACCTCTTTGGATGGTTAGGTTTTAGCACCAAATCTGAAATGTTTACACCATAGTGAACACAGTTCCAATATCATCTCAGTATTTTTCAGTAAGTGCTCATGCACACTGGGCGTTTTAAAAAACGCCAGTAGCGTTAGCTGTATAAAGGCTGAATACACACTTTACACTTCATGCCAAGGTAACTGTCCATGCAGGATCCAGTGTTTGAAGCAATGTAGGGTCCGGGTATGGCTCTGAAGGTTTACTGGCTTGCGCTAATTTGGATGCTTCTCTTTGTGGCACTAGAAGGCAGGAAGGACTTAATTAAAGAATTTGAAGAGAAAATATTAAAGGAAAATAAAAAAACGTGGTTAAGCTAAGGGGGATTTCTCAGAGAGGACTCACGGAGTGGAGCAGGGTTAGAGGAGAGGTGCCCAGGGGACGTAAACTTAAAAGTTTGCCAGTGTTAAATGACCTGAAGGTACCAAATTATAGCTCAGGGTCTATCAATGCTTTGCCTGTGGCCTGCACTTTACAATTAAAGTACAGCTAAAGGCAAAACTTTGTCAGTATTTCTGTGCTCAAAGCGGAACATTTTTTCACATGGAAATATGTTTTTTTAATTATAGGCCTGTAATTCTTACGAATAACTCACTGAAATCTGTCCGAACAAGAGTCTAGTAAACATCCCGGGTATGATAAAATTTGAAACTCGAAATCATAAATTATAATTTAATAAATAATCATAAAAAATAATATAATAATAAATTTCATTCAATATGTAATCAAACCAAAACCACTGAAATTTGAAATAAAGCGCCAAATTCGCACATCACTGAGCAAAGTCGCAAAATCGTTTTCAGTGTCTGATGATGAATTTCCCCACAAATCATTATCACTCAATTCTGCAAGTGGTTCTGATTTACTATCGCTGTTCTCTAGCTGGTCTAAAACCGCTTTTGACCTAAAGGGACGCTTTTTGAACACCATGGACATTTCTCAGTTTCCAGGCAGAAAGAACAGTAAAAATGCAGGCAGGGCACAGGACAAAATGTATGTGAAATAGTTTGATACAGTAATGTTTTACTATCAGATGTTAGTATATTTAGTGAACGTCACTTTTAAAATGTTTGAATTTCCTGCCAGTTCCATTCCCCGTGCATCCCGTACGTCCCAGGAAATGGACCCTGGAAGACAGATCTCTTTCGTCCTTAAAGCTTTGGTCCTTTGAACCTCTGGAGAACTCTAAAGACTATTTTTGTAGCAATCACATCGGCCCGTAGGGTTAGTGAATTGCAGGCACTTTCCATTAGGGAGCCCTTTTTGTCAGTTTTCGAGGATAGAATTTTTCTCAAAACGGATCATGTGTTTCTTCCTAAAGTTTCCTCCTTCTTTCTTAGGTCCCAAGATATATTTTTACCGACCTTCTGTTCTGCTCCCGTAAGCATAGAGGAAGAAAGATTAAGTTTGTAAGATGTTAGAAGGAGCCTTTTGGCCTATCTTAATAGGTCCAGAGAGTTCAGAAAGTCAGATTCTCTTTTTATATGTTTCGTAGGAGCACGGAAGGGTTCCAATGCTTCAAAATACACCATAGCTAGATGGATTAGGATGGCTATCACGGAATCATATAATTTATTAGAGATTCTGCCCCCGTTTGTTAATGCACACTCAACCAGATCCTTGTCATCATCCTGGGCATAGATAGCCTCGCCAGAACAGATTTGTAAGGCAGCCACTTGGTCCAGCTTTTCTACCTTTGTGAAACAATATCACCTGGATCTCCTTTCTAGTGAGGATCAGGCTTTTGGGCGCACAGTCCTGGGCAGTAGCCCTGCCCTAGTGGGTAAGTTCTTGATTATCATCTCAAGGGACTGTCCTGGAAGACGTTTTTGAGAAAACCAGTTAGACTTACCAGTAACTCATTTTCTATAAGTCTTTCAGGACAGCCAGGATTACCCAGTAAGTATTGTACAGTAAGGTATGTTTATGCATAAATGGTTATGTCTTTTAGTGCCTTCCTGTGGTTTTTGGGAAAACTGAAGAGGGAGGCCTGGAGGTCCACCTTTTAAGGTTCTGGGCTTACGCGTTTCCTGTCCAGAGGGAGGAGCTCAGCGTCTCAAGGGGTTGTCCTGGAAGACTTATAGAAAATGAGTTACTGGTAAGTAGTTTTTGTTCTGCTCTTAGACGCTGAAGCTAAAAATACACTATTACACTAATAGCCCAAAGTAAGTGCATGGACACATAAGATAACATTATTTAGCCTCTAGGAGCAGAAAAAATGCTAGCAACAGCTTCTAGGAGCTTAAAAAAAAAGCTAGCATGCATGGAGCCTAAGATATGTATTTTTAAAGGACGGTCTTTAAAGTGAAGTAGGGATGCTGATCTCTCTTGAATATAATTCCACTTATAGCAGTCTACAATTTATTTAGGGGGCATGGCTTTCCTTTGGGTAAATTTAGAACAGTTGAGTTTATTTAGTTTAGTGTCCATTATACAGTATTTGTGTTTTCTATTTTGGGTCTGTATTTGATTTATTATTTGTGTGTCACACTTTTTTAATTACATTTCTATTTTATTTTTTTTTGCTTTTTGTGAAAAAAAAAAAAAAAGAAAAAAAGAATGGGACTAATAAGAGGCCATTTTTGACACAAATGCTGATCTAAGATAGATAGGATGAGCTTTTCTAACCCTCAGGAGCCATTTAAAGTCATTTGCACCCTTAAAGCTGAATGTCAGCTTTTAGTTCAATCTTGCACAGTTATACAGGCTCTGATTGAACTCTGGGAACTCACAAGCATTAGAATCTGCAGCAAGTCAGATGGAGTTCATCCTACGTCTTGTCTGCAGGAAGTCCAGCATCATTTAGCACTTTCCTTCTCAGCCTGGCGGTCCCTGGCCTACCCTTTTTAATTATTGGATTTCAGTTCTTTCATTCGGGGAGGCTCTGCAGCACATGTGCGCATTGCCTAGGACGATTTCCACTTGTCAAGGCATTTTGATATTTGCACAACTCCTCCCAAAGATGAGCCCACTGCTTGCATCAGGGCTGAGGGCTCTTGAGAGGAGTATTAAGGAATGGAGCTGCATAATACAAGCAGATTAAACTTTAGCTTTAAAAACAACCAAAACCCAATTTGTATTCCCCATTGACTCCAATGCTTTTCGTCAAAATGACAACATTTTGTAACTGCCCAATTTGGTAGAAAGTTTAGGGAAGCTAATAGTTCTAAAAGAGACCATCATCCATTTAACAATGATCTTCTCAACCTTAAAGTGGATTTTTTGGAAAAAAATAAAAATGGGCAAACAGGCAGGTCTTTTTAATGCAGCCGAGACACTTACCTGCCTGTGCTCCCATGTACAGCGAGCTGCGCACGTGTAGTTAATTGTACAAATTCAGCAATGCTGAAAGAAATTGCGCACGTGTGTGACATCATTTTGGCCTGGCCAGTGAAACGCCTCACAATCAACACCCTGAAGTTAGTCACTTGAAGAGGTCAGCGGCCAGCGAGAGCTCCGAGACACCGCATTGCTGGACTGAAGGAGAGCATAGTTCTGCTTTTAGCTGTTAAGATGACCATATAGCAGGGACATTTGTAATTAATCTAGGCAACAGCACTCACAATGAGATACTTCAGAAACATTTTTGAAAGATGCCAAATGTATTCCACAACTTGTGATTTACTGGAAAAAAAATACTAAACAATATTACTTACATCTGATCAATTGTAAGTAAAAACAACAATTAATAGATCAGTATTATAGTTGGTTCTCCAGCACACAGATATTTATGTATCCAGGCTGTGGCCTAGGGTGCCTAGGCTTCTGTGCACAGCTTCTAGGCACAGTACCAAGCTTTCAAAAATTCCAGTGAAGAAATGGCAAACCCAGCTACTCCTGCGCTTAGGGATGGACTCTGTAAGGATAGGACCACAATCACAAATTTCTTGGGATATGCATGCCTTGTTGCCCTCAAATGACCGGGTAGTCCAAATATACTAAGTAGAGAAAAACAAACAGAGGGCACACCAGCCTAGTGCAGTACCTTAAAAAATGTATTTATTAAATGATAAAAGTAGGTATTGTACTCACAAAATGACAATACAGTCAAAGGCACATCGTGAAAGAACAGCTCTGTCCAATCCGCACTACGTGTCTGTCCGTAATGGGAACTCTGGACCTCCAACAGGCTGACATGTTTCTAGGACTTGTCTCTTCCTTCATTTTGGATATACATACCCTCAAATTAAACCTGAGAGTGTGCACTTTCAGCCCACATCCATTATAGAACTATAGTTTGAATATGTTTTGGTAAATACCTGAAAAAAAAAACTAAAATTGTGCTTGTGTCCAAATACATATGGACCCAACTGTACATAAATGCCGGTTCTGTCCCCATTAAAGAGATTTCCCTTATTTCCTGTCTCTGTGATGATCAATCACAGGACTGCGAAAAAAAAGTTTTTTCTAGTTCTACTTAAAATTCTGGCAAACCTGCTTGTGAAGAAATGTTGGGTGGTTTAAAATAAATGGCAAAAATTAACATAAAAAAAGCACTTTTTTATTATACACATATACCTATAAATTTATCGTTGGTTATAAAACGCAAAAAGACAATAGCAGCACTAAAAGCTATAATACAGGTAGATTAGCAGCAGGCTGTCGTAAACATTGGATGCTCGGTCCTCCGAGGTGGTCAGTGTTTGGACATTGTTGGAGTCAGGATCTTGCAGACAGGCACTGGTTCACAACTTCCAACAAGTGTGAATTCTCTAAAGCAGCCGCCACGCGCTCTTTGTCCGCCAACTGTTTATTGACTAAGAGAATAAAAGTCACAATAAGTGAAAAATGTATATATGACACAAAAAACAGCACATTATCCCTTAGTCGTCTGCGCTTTTTTTTTTTTTTAACAGACATGTAATCAGCTTATAGCAAACCTGTGCTTTGTCAAAGGAGCAAATAGATTCACTTAAAAGGATAAGTTCACCTTTATACAAAAAAAAATAATAAATGCACATTTTTCAGCAGATCACTGGTGCCATGCAAGTCTGCTGCAGATTTGCATGGGATGTACGGGCAAGCAGATATAGACAGGAAGAATCATGGAACTACCACGGTGAATCATTGAGAACTACAGAGAACAAGGCTGTTGGGACTTGTAGTTTCTCATTCAGAGAACACAGCGAATGAGTGACGCGATCAGACAGGCCAAGCCCGGGACGACACGTTATTAAAAATTTGACAGCTAGTGAGGGGGAAAAAAAAAGATACCCCGCTAGCTGTCAAAGTGGTAGCGCAAGGGGAGGGGCGCGTGCATTCATAACATGTTACACTCTGAATATGGGTGTAACACGTAACAAATTATGGAAGGTGAACTTATCCTTTAAAGTGATATTAAAGGTTCAGCTTTTTTTTTTTTTTTTTTTTTTTTAATAACTAACATGTCATACTTACCTGCTCTATGCAATGGTCTTGCACAGAGTAGCCCCGCTCCTCCTCTTCTTGGGTCCCCCATTGGCAGCTTGCTCTAGGGGGCACTCATGTCTGGGTGTGTGGGTCTATGAGAAACACAGAGCGTGGCTCAGTCCCACAACCCCCCCCTTTCCCCCTCTCTATAGCTGTGATCAACAGCAGAGGGAGCCAATGGCTCCCACTGCTGTGTCTCAGACAATGAGGGAAAGTCGAAGCTCATGTGTACATCGCTGGATCGGGAATGCATAAAAAAGGTAGAAAAAAAAAATTCAGCCTTGACAACCACTTTATAGCTGAAGTTGAGTTAAAAATATATTTGGGTATGCAACAGCAGAGATATACCTTCCCTCTCATGAAATATAGCCTATGTCCTTGATGACTACTGTAAAAATTCTCCCCTCAGTGGCTCAATGTTGGATACCCCTCAAAGTGGTGAACTTCCGGCATCCCATGTGTCAACTTCCTTGGCTCTAACAGTAAAGGATCACGCCGCTTGCCCTCCCTTTCTACCCCTACTCTCAATTCACAAAACTCCTGACATTATTTTCACAGAATGCAAAGGGTTTTGTGAAAGGATGAGGGAGAGTCTATCATTCATCCCTTTCACCTTCATTCATAGAACACTTTGCATTCTGTGAAAATAATGCCAAGAGTTCTGTAAATGCGTAAGAGGAGAGGAAGGGGAGGGCAAGCAGCAGGATCCTTCATTGTCAGAGCTGAGGCATTTAACCCTTGCCGTGCTGAAGTTCACCGCTATAAAGAGGAGCCAGCATCACTGAAGGGATGATTTTTACAGTAACCAGCACTATGTAAGGTACACTTCATTAAAGAAAAATGATGTCTTTGGTGCTTTATACCTAAAAATATTTTTAACAAAACTTCAATTTTAAAGCAGATTTAAACTCTAGCTGGGTATTTAGTTTGATAAATCACTGTGTATCATAAGTACATGCATGAAAAGTCTCTAGGCTCGTTTCCTAATGGTGACAAGAAGACCATGTCTGTGTTGCCACTGCTGCCTATAGTCTTCTATGGATGCAAATGTGACAGGGTGACAATGCAGGAGCATGACTTGAAGACAGGTACTGAGCATTGTCACACTACTGCAGGAAGTACTTTAAACAAGGACCTTCATGATAGACCACCAAGGATTATTTTAATGAGAACTGCAGATTAAAAAATAATGAAAACTGGTTTACATCAACCTTCAATAGTGGTGGCACCTCTTCCTCCCTTTGCTTCCATGATGCAGTGCTGGATGACTCAGTGGCTAATCACCAGCTGTCACATAAGGGCATAGAGGGGACCTCCTGCCCTGTGCAATCTCCTCTCACTCTGCTCTCTTTTCTTCTGTAGGCAGAGTGATGGGAAAGCAAAGGGAAAATGGGTACAGTCAGCTAGAGGATGGACAAATAAAGCGGACCTTACCTTATCTGCAAGATCTCGCAGTAGTTTGTAATGCACTGGCATGAGATGCAGTGCAGGACATCATGCGGCTAATCTTGCACATGTGCTGTAAGTTGTTACATTCATCTATGTTTTTTTTTTTTAATTCTTAACAGACTAATGTAATATTGTATTGCGCATGCGCGGGATGAGCTGCATCATGTAATGTGTTCTATCTCACGCATGTGCAACAGGACTATATTGAAAGTGGACCCTGGAAAAGAATTTCAAAATAGTGGTGTGGGAGCGAGGACACAAGCAGTAGAGAGGCACTGTGAAGATGAAGAAAGAACAAGGAGAGGCAGCATGGAGGTAGCTAAGCATACTTGTTTATGCCTTAGGTCACCTTCATGGAGTTACGAATAAAAAAGGGTGACGGGAATATCCTCTTTAAGTGAATCTGATTTGTCCTGTATGTGTAAAAGATGGATTACAAGTAATTGTGCTGATGAGATTTAGAAACATTTAACTATTTGAATACACTTAAATCAGGTCTCTAGGGTGTCTTTGTATTCAACTAAAGTTTTCCTTCTAGCAGAATACTCCTCAGCAATCACCTGCGTGTTCAGAAGCATGCGTTCCAGGGGTAATATGGACATCTACCTGCAAAAGATGAAAAAAAGAATTTTAATTTTAGGAAAGGGCAACTAACGGATTTGTAGTGATGTGATAGCCGAGCTGGTCACAGATACTCATTCATTCAGCTTCTGCAAAGCTTCCAAATCTAGTCTAAATTCCTATCACAAAGGCCAACTGGACCATCTGTAGTAGCGCAAAAGAGGTGGGAAATTACTACTACGTATTATATCATATTTGTGGATTTTTGATATAGTGCAAAAGAATTTCTTTTTATAGTGAGCCTAATAGATGGATCAGTGTTAGGCTATCAATTCAGGGCTTGGCAGTGTTTAACATGGCGGGGGCCACGGGGCTCTCTTACTGGAAGGGACTGATGGCTCTCTGTAACCAATCTGCTCTAATGACCATCGCCTTCCAAGTTAAGCACACTTCTGTCATTTACACATGCATGTTTTACATAGTTAGTCTGGCTGAAAAAAAACAAAAAACAAAAGTCCATCCAGTTCAACCATTAAATTAAAAAAAAAAAAGTTATAATCCTATACCCACAGTTGATCCAGAGGAAGGCAAAAAAACCCAGCAAAGTATGATCCAATTTGCTCCTGCAGGGAAAAAAATTCCTTCCTGATCCCCCAAGAGGCAATCGGATATTCCCTGGATCAACTTTACCTATAAATGTGTAAAGCGCTGCATAAAATTGACGGCGCTATATAAGTACCTGAAATAAATAAATAAATGTTAGTATCCAGTTATATTCTGTGTATCTAAGAAAGAATCCAGGCCTTTTTTTTTAAAGCAATCCACTGAGCTGGCCAGAAACAACTCTTGAGGGAGTCTATTCCACATTTTCACAGCTCTCACTGTGAAGAAAACTTTCCATGTTTGGAGATGAAATTTCTTTTCCTCCAGATGTAAAGAGTGCCCCCTTGTCCTCTGTGATGAGCTCAGGGTGAATAACTCTACACCGAGTTCACTATATGAAGCACTGATGTATTTATACATGTTGATCATATCCCCCCTTAATCTCCTCTTCTCAAGAGAGAATCAATTCAGTTCCTCTAATCTTTCCTCATAGCTGAGCTCCTCCATGCCTCTTATCAGTTTGGTTGCTCTTCTCTGTACTTTCTCCAGTTCCCCAATGTTCTTTTTGTGAATTGGTGCCCAAAACGGAACTGCATATTCCAGATGAGGAATTACTAATGATTTGTACCGGGGTAATATGATATCTCTCTCTCTGGAGTCTATACCTCTTTTAATACAAGAGAGGATTTTATTCGCTTTAGAAACCACAGCTTGGCATTGCATGCCATTATTAAGCTTGTGATCTACCAGAACCCCCAGATCCTTCTCCACCATTGATTCCCCCCATTGTACCCCCCTAGTATGTATGATGCATGTATATTCTTACATTTATCAACATTAAACCTCATTTGCTAACATTTGTTTTGATTTACTAACATATCAGAATGCTTGAACTGAATCTGCATTAATTGCACATCATGGTTTGACACATAGTAGTTTAAACCCTATCAAGTCAACAATAAAAAAAAAAACAGAAACAAAAAAAAAAAAAAAAACACAACAAACAAGGTGGACAAATTGATAGTGTGGTTGTTATACCCTGTATAGCTGAACTGCTCACTAATACAGGAGACAATTATATGACTGCCATGACCACCACCAAAGTGGCTAGCTACCTTCTTCATGGCAGCAGAAGAGATAAGAGCCAGGATTACAGCTATCACCTATTTTCCCTAAAGTCCTTACTCCAGCCAAAACATTAAAACATTTTGATGTAAGCTTAACCTCAGCCCATTTATTTTTCTTGCTCTGGATAAAATGTAGGAGTTACATTTTCCATCATTTTTTTTGTATTTTTTTTTTTATTCCTGTGACCCCCTTTGGGCAATTTTGATCCCACTTTCTCTCTCTGTGACACTAGGACAATAAATGGGAGGAGCGGTCTTTACTGGCACAGGAAGGCCAGATAATATCAATACTGTCAGAAGCTTTGGCACTTCCCTTCTCTACAAAAAAAGTTGTTTTTTTTACTAATTGCTAAATATATTTCCCATCACTATCTATTTTGACAGGAAATGAGGGCAAATTTCCTTAATAGGCACACAGGTGGCAATAAAACATGACAGAGGTTCTGACCCTTCCCTGCTTTATCAAATAAAAGAATATGCTTTAGCTTAGGTTGGGACTTTTTCATTTTGAATAGAGGGGGGAGAGACAGTTGAAGTGTATTGTGGATTTTTATTGCAGTCCCTGACCTTACTGGGAAGATTTCCCCTCATATTCTGTCATGTCAGAAAGTGGTAGTAAAGCTCTGGGACAGACACAAACAAAAACACATTTTTAGTAAAGTGAAAAAAAAAAAAAAAAAAGCTAAAACTCCTATTGTTGTCTGGGTCTTTCTCCTCCTCCTCCTCTCATTTATTATACAGAGGTCACAGGGACAGGAAGTGATATACTTCTTCTCCATTCCATCCAAAACTAAAAAACACCACTGTATCTTATGGACACAGAAAGCAGCGGCTCGGGAGCAAGCACATAGCGGTGCCCCCAGGGCAAGCAGCTTTTCCTGGGGACACTGCTCAAGGGGGAGGGGCCAGAGCACTGGCAGGGAACCCGAAGAGAAGAGGATCGGGGCAGCTGTATTAAAAAATACTGCACAGAGCAGGTAAGTATGACATGTGTTATTTTATTAAAAAAAAAAAAAAAAAAAAAAAAAAAAAAGAAGAAGAAGCTTCAGCATCACTTGAAATTGTTGTAAAGAGTTCTTAAAGTGCATGTATAGCTTTCCTAGTTTTGGAAAGTGTGAGGAAGTATTAGACCTCTGATCAGGTGTTTAGTGCTGTCTATGCTTCCACTGGGAAGATTCGCCCTCTATATCTGTGACCATCATCAGCAGGACAGAATGATGAAAAAATCCAAGATATTAGGTGTTGTCACCAGAGTAGAAATTGAGGGTAAATGTTATAGTAGGGACACCTGTTCTGATGACAACTGTCTAAGGTATACATCCCATTGTTTTGGAGAGATTTCCTCTTACTGTCTATGGCATTTCCAGGATAGGAAATCTCCCCCATGGGACACACAGTAAAAATAAACTGATGGGGTTGAAACCCTCTATACTCTATCCAAAAACTGAAAAAAAAAAAAAAAAGAAAAACTGACTATACAGACACTGACTGTCCATCCATAAGAGGGCCACATAAAAAACCATTGTCTAGAATAGTGGATTGTAGCAGCTCAATAGTTCACTGATCTCACTTACCTTAAACCTCTCTGGCAGAGAGCGCAGAAGCTTAACTTTAATAGACAATCCGATCAGGGTGGCCATGCTGCAATGTGGGATTGTGGGAGTGAATTCCACGGACACGGAGCTCTCCTCATCATTTACCTGCATCATACAATGCAAAAACATAAACATTTGTCCTTGATGCCAGCAAGAAATATTTTAAATCCATGGTGTCATCTTGTAACAGCATGAAACAAAAATCACCCAAATGACACTGGTGACGTAGTCAATGCTTCTCAGATGCCTCCTCAGAAGACTACATCACCAGTGCCTTTCAGGGAGTTCTAGTAATTAAAACGGAGAGATCTTTTGAAAGTTCATTGTTTTGTTTTGTTTTTTTTTAACAGACAGCAGCTCCTGGGTTTGCACATTAGACAATCTGGTTCGGTTTGTGATTGTTTTATAATGACATGATTTCACCAATAAGTGTCTGGTGCTGTAAGGATCCTCACATTCCTAGGAGCAATAAGAAGCTGGCCATCAATGATGTAAACATGGAAAATGGCGGCACAAGTCTTAGCATGGGGTGGACAGAGCCATGGGATTTTGGAAACGTATTTACAAGAACACAAGTTTTTGTGTTGGCTCATTTGGTGTACATAAGATATGTTCAAATGTGTAACTAAATATGTACTAAAGATGTTCTTCTTTATGATGCCTTGACCTATGCTTAAGCGCATCACAAAATCAAGAACACAAATGTGATATATAGCAGCTCCCCAGTACGTGGATGTGGTGGCTGCATATGCTTTCTTTTTACAGGCTAAGAACATTTCCAGCAATTACAGAAAATACCTGTAGATATTGCCAGAAAGCCATCTCCTCGTCACTTCCTGCGAGTTCACATGAAAAGCCCAGATAGTATCATCTTCCTTCTACATTCTACTAGCCCCCCTCCTTCATAAAATGGAGATGTGTTTGTAGTCCAAATCAGGAGATCATGCTGACATTCACGGCTCCCTCCTTAGATACAAAGCCCACCCAGGGACAGGAAGTGTGTTAGTGGCAGGATCCTCAAGTGAGAATAAAGGAAAAAGAAAAGCACCAAAAAAAAAACAAAAATCGAACACAGCCACGCATCTAAGAACTAGCAATCTGCAATATGACATTTTTTTTTTCTTGATTTTAGATCCACTTCCAGACAAGAGAAAAACCAGAGTGCCCTCCTGTACGCTAATTAAATGCCTTCATTATATAAAACGTAATGAACATACAGACATGTACTGTACCTTGACCCGGATCTCCTCCACAACATTCAGCTCCTCCAGGCTCAGCGGGTGTTCTGGGTCATTGATGGAACGAATGAGATGTAACATGTTAAGGATAATGAGGCTATGATAATATATTGTATCTCTAGCAGTCAGTTCTTTTATAACAGTGCACTTTGGTATAGGTTGTGCTAGAATTAATTGATATATCCACCAGGAACTAGTGACATGGCTGTGATTATGTTATGGCTTTGCATCTCTTTTTCCCAATTTAAAATGAAAGCTCATACAGGGGTTGCTGCAATGACAGTTGCCTCACTTTACACTGCTTCCAGAAAAGCTCACATTCTTGCACCCCCACGTCTCTGCAAGTATTGTCAGCCCACAAATGGAAAATCTCAAGTAACTGCAATATGTAATGGGGCACCCTCTGCATCCCTTGCCTGCACAGAGCTCACGTAGGTGATTTCAGGATGCCGTGTCTCCTAGAAGCTGTGTTACTTGACATTCCAAATTCCCAGGCTGCACAACGCTCACGTAAGGAATACAGGGATGGCAGCTGCTACAAGCAGTGTTGCATGGAATTCTGCATTCTCTGGAAGAACAGAACCCATTTGGTGGATGCCAGGTATCTCATAAAACACATCCTATTCTTTATGTGAGAACTGTCCTCCCCCAGGGCAACAGAAGTACTTGTAACTGTGAAATGAAATTGTGCACCCCCAGGCAGTACAGAGCTCGCATAGGAAGTTTATGGATGCCAGCTCTCCTACAATCAGTGTAGGACATCCTTCATCCCCTGCAGCATAGAGCTCATCTGTAAGTTACAAGGATGCCAGTACCCCCTATAACAGCTTTCAGTGACATCCTTATATGAGCTCTGACATGCCCAGGGATTCAGAATTCAGCATTATTGTATGTATATTGGTTGTGCCCCCCCCGCATCCCTTCCCTGTACATATCTCTACACAGGAGGTGTTGGAATGCCAGTTCTCCAATCAGTGTTGGCTTTCTGCATCCTCTGCTGTACAGATGTTATTGGAGGAATAGAGGGAAGCCAGCAGCCTCATGTAACACTGCTTGCAGGAAATCTGGCATCCTCACATAAGCTCTGTCCTGCTAAGGGATTCAGAAATACATTTAATAGTACATGCAGCCAGGAGATTTGGAATTGTCATGTTTCCAATGGGGTTACAGACATTCTGCAATGCACAGAGTTCATAGGAGAAATCTGACTGATTGCACATATACTCTGGTTGTACGGAGCTCACACACAGGGATGCCAGTTTTCCTGTAAGCAGTCACAAAACATTCAGCACCCCCTGCTGTACAGATCCAACATGGAAGCAAATTTTCTATTGCACAGGGTCCTCTACACCCTCTGCTCTACAGAGCTCACATGGGGGTATACAGGGATGCCAATTTTCCCTTTAAGCAGTCACATGACATCCTGAGTACCCTGCTGTACAGATCCCACATGGGGATGTCATTTTGTTTTCTTTATAAAGGGTCACAAAACCTTATACCCCCCCCCCTCCCCTCCCCCTGTGTATAGAGCTCACACAGAGAGATGCCAGATCCCCAATGTACACATCTCACAAGGGGAAGTATGTTTTCCTTTGCACGAGGTCACATAGCCTTCTACACCCTCTGCTCTACAGAGCACACATGGGGTTATACAGGGATGCCAATTTTCTCTTTAAGCAGTCACATGACATCCTGAGTCCCCTGCTGTACAGATCCCACATGGGGGATGTCTTTTTTTTTTTTTTCTTTATAAAAGGGTCACATAACCTTCTACACCCCACTTCCCAGCGTATAGAGCTCACACAGAGGGATGCCAGTTTCCCTCTACGCCGTCACATGACACTATGCATCCCCCAATGTACACATCTCACAAGGGGAAGTAAGTTTTCCTTTGCACAAGGTCACATAGCCTTCTACACCCCTGCTGTACAGAGCTCACATGGAGGTATACGGGGATGCCAGTTTTCCTCTAAGCAGTCACATGACATCCTGAGTCTCCTGCTGTACAGAGCTCACATGGAGGGATGCCAGTTTTCCTCTACGCAGTGTCATGTGACATTCTGCCCCCTCTGCTGGGGGATGTCAGTTCCCTCATACACCGATCAGGCAGAACTTTATTACCACCCACCTAATATTGAACAGGTCCCCCTTTTGCAGCCAAAACTTCCGGACCCATCAAGGCATCCCACTGCCTCCATGGTTGCCCTCTTCCCATTGTGTATCCTGGTGCCATCTCTTCGTCAGGTAAGCACTGCACACGTTCCTCCACATGATGTAAAAGAAAATGCGATTCATCAGAACAGCCACCTTCCATCGCTGCCTGGTCCAATTCTAATGCTCATGTATCCACTGTAGGCAGCTTTGGCTGTGAACACGGGGCAGCATGGGCATCCTGACCGCTCTGCGACTACACAACAAACTGCGATGCACTGTGTGCTCTGCCACCTTTCTACTGGAACCAGCATTAAACGCAAAACCAGAAACGGGATCATTAGATGTGCTGCCTGCATTTGTTTTCTTTTGGTCTTTTCCCCGTTTTCACCTGGTGATCTGGCCAGCAACACATCACCTATATTAGAGTGCCTCCACTCTGGATGAAGGACCACAGGGGGCACCTTTGGACAGCAGCATTGTCAGTCTGGGAGGAGGGGAGTGCTAGATGTACTAGCAGATTTAAATACACTAACAAACTGCCACCAAACTCCAGTTTGTACTATTGGCAGTTACAGCAGTTTTTTTCCCCTTTTAGGATAAAGGTTTTACATAAATAAAAGCTAATCATTGTAAGCACCCCTGTCCGTGGAAAATAGAAGGTCTCGACTCTCTAACTGATACGTTTGCAGGAGTGCTTGTACTTTTGAAAACAAGGAACAGGAAAGAAAGCCTATTAAAGTAAACTGATGCAGCTACCACATCTAGTAAAATGGTAAGCTGCAATATAAGTGTTAGCTTTTGGGTTTAATATCACTAAAGGAAAAACTTTTTTTTTTTTTTTTTTTTTGGATGGAGTGGAGAGAGATTAGAACAGCTGACAGTTTTTATTTGCTGTCTCTGCCTCCATTAACCACTTTCAGTCTGCCCAGATTTACTGCTATGAGGTGGACGTCCTGTGCAAAATAACATATGTGATTTTGTATTACCGCTGCAGGGTGGAGTGCGCACGTTGCCGGAGCGCCACCTCTGCTGTGACTGGACACAGCATAAGCCTATCAACAGCTGCCAGCCAATGGATGAGCGCCAGCACCCGTTGACCGCCGAGGAGACTGACAACACAGCTCTGCCTATGTAAACAAGGCAGGCGCTGTGTTCTATCAGCAATGATCTGCTAGATTTTATTTCTCTACAAAGCAGGCTATAAAATCTAGCAGATTGCTTAGTAAAAACAGCACTAGTACACAAAAACAAAACACACTGCTAGGCACACAGTTAACCCTTTGATCGCCTTAGATTTTAACCCCTTCCTAGCCAGTGTCATTAATAGTGACAGTGTATATTTTTAGCACCGATCATTGTATTAGTGTCACTAGTTCCCACAAAGTGTCAGACTGTCCACCACAATATAGCAATCCCACTACAAGCTGCTGATCGCCACCATTACTAGTATATATAAAAAAAAAAAAAAAAAAAAAAAAAAAAAGAAGGACATATATATACAGTCATGGCCGAAATTGTTGGCACCCTTGATATTTCTCCAGGAAATCATGTATTTCTCACGAAACGTATTGCATTAACACATGTTTTGCTATACACATGTTTATTCCCTTTGTGTGTATTGGGACAAAACAAAAAAAGGGAGGAAAGAAAGCAAATTCGACATAATGTCACACAAACCTCCAAAAATGGGCTGGACAAAAGTATTGGCACCCTTTCACAACTGCGGATAAATAAGAATGTTACAAGCATGTGATGCTCCTGTTAAACTCACCTGGGGCAAGTAACAGGTGTGGGCAATATAGAAATCACACCTGAAAGCAGATAAAAAGGAGAGACGTTCACTTAACCTTTGCATTGTGTGTCTGTCTGTGCCACACTAAGCATGGACAACAGAAAGAGGAGACGAGAACTGTCTGAGGACCTGAGAACCAAAATTGTGGCAAAATATCAACAATCTCAAGGTTACAAGTCCATCTCCAGAGAACTAGATTTGCCTTTGTCCACAGTGCGCAACATTATCAAGAAGTTTGCAACCCATGGCACTGTAGCTAATCTCCCTGGTCGTGGACGGATGAGGAAAATTGATGAAAGATTGCAACGCAGAATAGTCCGGATGGTGGATAAGCAGCCCCAAACATGTTCCAAAGACATTCAAGCTGTCCTGCAGGCTCAGGGAGCATCAGTGTCAGCGCGAACTATCCGTCGACATTTAAATGAAATGAAACGCTATGGCAGGAGACCCAGGAGGACCCCACTGCTGACACAGAGACATAAAAAAGCAAGACTACAGTTTGCCAAAATGTACTTGAGTAAGCCAAAAGCCTTCTGGGAAAACGTCTTGTGGACAGATGAGACCAAGATAGAGCTTTTCGGTAAAGCACATCATTCTAGCTGTTTACCGAAAACGGAATGAGGCCTACAAAGAACAAAACACAGTACCTACGGTAAAATATGGTGGAGGTTCAATGATGTTTTGGGGTTGTTTTGCTGCCTCTGGCACTGGGTGCCTTGACTGTGTGCAAGGCATCATGAAATCTGAGGATTACCAAAGGATTTTGGGTCGCACTGTAGGGCCCAGTGTCAGAAAAGCTGGGTTTGCGTCCAAGATCCTGGGTCTTCCAGCAGGACAATGACCCCAAACATACGTCAAAAAGCACTCAGAAATGGATGGCAAAGAAGCGCTGGAGAGTTTTCTGAAGTGGCCAGCAATGAGCCCAGATCTAAATCCCATTGAACACCTGTGGAGAGATCTTAAAATTGCTGTTGGGAAAAGGTGTCCTTCCAATAAGAGAGACCTGGAGCTGTTTGCAAAGGAAGAGTGGTCCAAAATTCCGGGTGAGAGGTGTCAGAAGCTTATTGATGGTTATAGGAAGCGACTGATTTCAGTTATGTTTTCCAAAGGGTGGAGTGCAACCAAATATTAAGTTAAGGGTGCCAATACTTTTGTCCAGCCCATTTTTGGGGTTTTGTGTGACATTATGTCATATTTGCTTTTCTGCCTCTGTTTTATATTTGTTCCAATACATACAAAGGGAATAAACATGTGTATAGCAAAACATGTGTTAATGCAATACCTTTTTTGTGTGAAATACTTGATTTTCAGGAAAAATATCAAGGGTGCCAACAATTTCGGCCATGACTGTATATATATACAGTTGTGACCAAAATTATTCAACCCCCACTGAAATTGAGTGTTTTGGCCAGTTTGACATTGCTTTTGATCATTCAGTCATCTTGCTTACATTTACATTAAAGAGGCACTTGTAGGTCAGACAAATATAACATAACAGTTATAATGAAAATAACCACAAATGTCTTTTCTGTGCTCAGCATTATCAGTTTTATTCAACCCCCAAGTGACATTCAATCTTAGTACTTAGTACAGCATCCTTTTACAGTTATAACAGCTTTTAAACGTGAAGCATAGCTTGACACAAGTGTCTTGCAGCGATCTACGGGTATCTTCGCCCATTCTTCATGGGCAAAGGCCTCCAGTTCAGTCACATTCTTAGGCTTGCGCACTGCAACTGCTTTCTTTAAGTCCCACCAGAGGTTCTCAATCGGATTTAAGTCTGGTGGACTGCGATGGCCACTCAAAATGTTCCAGCCTTTCCTCTGCAACCATGCTCTAGTGGACTTGGAGGTATGCTTGGGATCATTGTCCTGTTGAAAGGTCCAACGTCTCCCAAGCCTCAGGTACGGACTGCATCACGTTTCCATCCAATATCTCCTGGTACTGAAGAGAATTCATGGTACCTTGCACACGCTGAAGCTTCCCTGTACCTGCAGAAGCAAAACAGCCCCAAAGCATGATTGACCCTCCACCATGCTTCACAGTAGGCAAGGTGTTTTTTCATCATAGGCCTTGTTCTTCCTCCTCCAAACATAGCGTTGATCCATGGGCCCAAACAGTTCTAATTTTGTTTCATCAGTCCACAGAACACTATCCCACAACTTTTGTGGTTTGTCCACATGGCAATACTGCAGTCGACTCTTCTTATTCTTTGGAGACAGCAAGGGGGTACGCCTGGGAGTTCTGGCACGGAGGCCTTCATTACGCAGTGTGCGTCTTATTGTCTGGGCTGAAACTTCTGTACCCACATCTGACAAATCTTTTCTCAGTTCCTCAGCAGTCACACGGGGGACTTCTCTCCACTCTACGCTTCAGGTAGCGCACAGCAGTCGAAGTCAGCATCTTCTTTCTGCCACGACCAGGTAGCGTTTCAACAGTGCCCTTTTGCCTTGAATTTGCGAATGATGCTTCCTAAGGTGTCTCTTGGTATGTTTAACATCTTTGCAATCTTCTTATAGCCATTGCCCTTCCTGTGAAGAGAAATCACCTCTTCTCTTGTCTTCCTGGACCATTCTCTTGCCTCACCACACACACATATACGTACAACACACAAAAAAAAAAAAATATAAATATACACAACACATACACCATAGTTTGTAGACGCTATAGGTTTTGTGTAAACTTACTGGGATTTTTTTTTCCCACCAAAAATATGTAGCAGAATACATTTGGACTAAATTTATGAAGAAATTTGTTTTTTTTGGATATGTTTTATAGCAGAAATTTAAACAAACACTTAAAAAAAATTCTCTTTTTTGATTATAGCGCAAAAATGTAAAAAATGCAGAGGTGATCAAATACCACCGAAAGAAAGCTCTATTTGTGGGGAAAAAAAAAAAAATATAAAATTAATTTATGCAAAACGTTGCATGACAGCGCAATTGTCAGTTAAAAAATTGCCTGGTCATGAAGGGTGGGGGGTATATCTCCCAAAGGTCAAGTTAAGGGGATCCCCCTCTCTATTTGTCCTGTTTATTGTAATCATTGAATGTAATAGAAGATCTTAAGTTTTGGGTTGTCCCCAGAAAAGTAATAGAGGGGAAATCTTCCAATGGGGACACTACACTAGTTCTGGCGACCTGGGGGGGGGCAAGGAATTTCCTCAATTTGCAGAGATTCCTTTTCACTTCTTGTTTAGCTATGGGACAGGAAGTGAAGGTAAATCTCCACAAGGGGACACAGATGGCAAATAAAACATCTGACGGGGTTATGCCTCTCCCTTACTTCCACAATGAAGAAGACGTTTTGCCTTTAGTTCTACTTTTTCTTTGATCTGAGCTCCAGTAGCTCTTCTATTGGCTCAGACCCCGCAGTCCATCCCCCGCTCCCACTATCAGTGTGGTCACCACTGTCCCCGGTTGTCCTCCCTTGGATCACTGTTGGTCAGTGCTGACATCGGCAGAGTGGGACATCCCACAAGACGGTCAGTTCTGGAGTTGTTCTGACCCAGTCCTCTAGACATTACAATGGGTCACTTGTCAAAGTCACTTAAATCCTTAACTTCTTTCAACACATCAACTTCAGGGGACAACATGCTCACTTGCTGCCTAATATATCAATAGTATTCTCTTTACCTGTCGGTGGTCATAATGTTCTGGCTGATGGGGGTATAACACAGTTTACACCCCCCAGGTGAGCTCTGCCCATGTCAGTATAATATGAAGTTCTATCTCCCCCTCCCCCAGAGCACCCAGCACAGCGGGGATGCCGCCCCCTGCGGTCATCTCAGGATATCGAATATCTCCCGATCGTCGATCTTGTCGTGCAGCTCCTCATCCTCGTCCTGAGCCGTCACCTGGCGCTCCCCGCTCCGCTGGTAGATGAGCGGATTGGCATTCTCCAGCTGGCTGCCCCCCACCATCTCCGGCGACACACTACCAACGCTTCCCGGAAACCATAACAGGAGATTTCGTTCATGTGACTAGCGCAGCGCTTCTTCTCATTGGTCACCTTTAGGGCTCGTCTCCTTTTTCATTGGTCATCCCCACTGTAGGCTACATAGCGGGGGCGGAACTGCATAGCGTCGGGCGGAACTTGCTTTTCCAGAGCCTATTGAATAGTCTGAAAAAGTAAGCTCCGCCTCTTTATCCCTATAAGGGCGGAAGTGCTTGGCGGCCATGATTGTCTTTGGAAAACTGAAACGGTATTGGTTGTATTTTTGGGACAGTGGTCACGTTGGCTCAGCTGGCTGCCTTTGGTTATTATGGACATGAAGAGGATATTGAATGTAATAGTTCATCGTGGTGTATAGAGATTGCAGCTCTCAAATACATACCTCTGGGATGAAATAAGTTGATGCGGATAAACAGTAAAGGTTCACCTCACCAAGATCAAAGTTGTCCTATATTTACTATTTCATACTCATTACTTTTAAAAATATAAATCTCAGCAAGGTATTGCGTTGCACTTGCCTACGGGTACTTATACCCCCTTCCTGCCCAGGCCAATTTTCAACTTTCAGCACTGTCACACTTTGAACAATTGCGCGGTCATGCAACACTGTACCCATTTTTATCATTTTTTTTTGCACAAATAGAGCTTTCTTTTGGGGGTATTTGCTCGTCATTTTATTCTTTGCACTATAAACAAAAAAAGACCAAAAATTTTGAATTTTTTTTTTCTCTTTGTATCTATTATAAAATGTTGCAAACAGGTACTTTCTGTCCTTCACTGATGTGCATTGATGAGGCTGCACTGACAGGCAGCACTAATGGGCACTGATAGGTGGCACTGATTTGCACTGATATGCAACAATGATGAGCACTGATAGGCGGCACTGATGAAGTGGCACTGATATGCAACAATGATAGGTACTGATAGGTGTCACTGACGGGCACTGATAGGCGGCACTGATGAAGTGGCACTGATATGCAACAATGATGGGCACTGATAGGCAACACTGATGGGCACTGATAGGCGGCACTGATATGCAACATTGATGGGCACTGATGAGCACTGATAGGCGGCACTGATATGCAACAATGATGGGCACTGATAGGTGGCACTGATATGCAACAATGATGGGCACTGATAGGCAACACTATGGGCACTGATATGCAACAATGATGGGCACTGACAGGCAACACTGATGGGCACTGATAGGCGGCACTGACAGGTGGCACTGATGAGCACTGATATGCAACAATGATGGGCACTGATAGGTGGCACTGATATGCAACAATGATGGGCACTGATAGGCAACACTATGGGCACTGATATGCAACAATGATGGGCACTAATTGGTGGCACTGATGAAGTGGCACTGATATGCAACAATGATGGGCACTGATAGGCAGCACTGATGAAGTGGCACTGATATGCAACAATAATGGGCACTGATGAGCACTGATAGGCGGCACTGATGGGTACTGATAGGCAGCACTGACGGGCACTGATAGACGGCACTGATGGGAGACACTGATAGGCAGCACTGATATGCAACAATGATGGGCACTGACAGGCGGCACTGATAAGCACTGATGGGTGGCACTACTAGGCACTGGTGAATGGCACTGCTGGGCACTGATCATCAGTGTGTGCTTTGAGTGATGGACTTATTCTACGGCCTTTGGGTATACAGAGCCAATCAGCTACCTGGATGCAGGCTGGAGCTGTCAAGTGGCGATTATAAGTCCCTTTGGAAGCTCTCTTTGATGATGAGAACACAGGAGGATTGGAGCATAATATAAGGATTTAATATAATATATGGATTTATGTGAACTGTCTTAGGCATACTGTTGCTTATTGCCTTCCTCCGAAGAGGAATATTCTCTGTGGCTTTGACACACTTGCTGGCCATATATTGAGTATTGCACATCAGCCGATATCACAGCTGGGTCCTCAGGGAGTTATCCAACAGCACAGGGAAGGAGGACAGGGAGAGTTGTGGAGGGATGGCCTTTGTCACCCAGATCCCTCCCTTATAGAGGGGGAAGGGAGGGCACTCTTGGGGTTGGGGGGGGGGGGGGGCCCCGGAGGGTGAGGATAAGGACATATTGGGTGGGATTCATTCCAGGGAGGGGTTGGTACGAGGAGGTGGGGGGGGGGCTGGCTGGGTGGGGGTGGGGGGGACTTGGGAGGGGATGGATAGGTAACATGCAGTGATCAGGTTTATATTGTTACATCCTATAATAAATATATTCTGCTGATAAGCTATTGAGGTGCTTTATTCTTTTACTGTTTTTTTTTGCTGTGGCTACATTTACTCCTTCACTGTATCTTTGGAGGAAAAACATAGCCACCCTTGAACTGCAGCATTGTCAATCAGTGGAGAGGGTGGTATATGAGATTGTTATAATCAGATTGTAACGTTTGTGGTGAGCTTTAGCATCAGTTTTCTTTAGGTAGGGTAAAAAAGTTTTTATATTTAGTGTCATCATCAATCAGTGTTAGGGGTCTATGGATAAAACGTTCATTGTACGGATGTGACAGACAGTTGCACAATCAGGGCGAAAAAATTGTTATACTTCTATTATATTGTCAGTGTTGCCTGGTGACCAGAACGCATTTTTTCCCCAGAAATTCTCCAATTACGAAAAAGAAAAAAACCCAATAGCATTATTTTGGCCACTAGATGGCGCTGACAATATAGAAGTTACAGATAATGGCGGTATGGCAAGTTTTGCACTGATCAGGGGCGGACTGACCATTTGGAAACTCGGGCACTGCCGGAGGGTGCGGGGTCAGTAGGGGGCCGCATGAGATGCCCCTGGTACCTTTTTCATAGGCTTTTTTGAGTTTGGACAAGGACACAGGGGCCCCATGAGTGGTCAGTCCGCCCTGGCGCTGATTGTGCAAATGCTCATCACATCTGCACAAGTATTTTATATGTAGACCCCCTAGTGTCTGTGTGTTTAGATGGGATAAAAAAGAGCAAAATGTGCATTTATTTTCTGGGCCCTACTACAGGTACAAACAACAAATAATGCGCAAATGTTTGGTATCCATATGGAAATTGGGAGTAGGAGAGATTATTGTGGTTGGTTTTGTTTTTCATTTGTGTCATAGTAGTAATGCCAAAAATGTACAGCTAAAGTTTAATACATGATATTTATTTTTCCTATTTTAGCACAGTTTTTCTTTTCATCATATAAATACCAAGAGATATCCAGTACAATTTACCAGAAAATGAAGGCCAAATTATAAATGAATTCACCTGCATACACTAAGTAGTTGCAAAGATATTTACAGTTTTGCTAATGTAGCGGGTGCTGCTCGCTGCATCTGTTCTCCCTGGCTCCCCCCCCCCCCCCAGCAGAACAGTGACAGCGTGGACCGGAGCAGTGCAGGGCTGTGCAGAGACAAAAGGAGCAGCTGCAGGCTCTTCCCCCCCCTTCTCTTCACGCTGCACTGGCAGACAGAGCAGCTCACCCTGTCCCCCCCCCCCTGGCCACAGCAAAGAACAAATTAGGGGGGAAGAGAGGAGCATCATGGGTCATGTAGTCCCAAGAGACAGATAGCCCATGGACATAAAGACAGTATGGACTACAAATAATTGGAGCTGGGCCAACAGAGAAAGAGAAGAGAGCCTGGAGCCTGATCTCGATGCAGTGGTGTAAAAGGAGAGCTCTTCCAGCTCTGTCCCTCCTCACAGGGCAGATTGGTAGCAGCGGGAGCCATTGGATGGATGATTAAAAATAATAATAATAATTTAAAAAACCACGGAAATGCAATTTAAAGTGTATATATAGCTATAATATTTTTCTTAGATTTGGATAGTTTTATTCTTCCCCACTTTGCCTAAAACTAAAAAAAAAAAAAAAAGTTGGGGTTATAGACACACTTTAATGACAGGGTTGCTTCAAATTATGAAACTGTTGCCACCCCTCAGCTACACATACAATAACAAATATTCCTGTCATGTTTCAGCATCTATAGCAGTGGTTCTTAACCTTGTTGGAAGGTACTGAACCCCACCAGTTTCATATGCGCATTCACCGAACCCTTCTTAATTGGAAAAATAAAATATGATTTTTAAAATTCAAAACATAGGTATATATTTATACATAGGTGCACAAAATGAACAAAACCGTTAAGAACAAAGAACAAAACCATTAAAACATGATTTTCACACAAAAACAAAAACATAATAATGAATATTTCCTGCACGAATCATATGAGTCGGGTGTGGGTCTTCACCTCTGCCGAAACCCGCGAGACTGACTCACTGAACCCCTGGGGTTCGATCGAACCCAGGTTAAGAACCACTGATCTATAGCATATTGCCCTGTAAGGTCATAAAAGTTAAACAGTAGCAAAGTAAAGCACAGGGCAGGTCATTGACAGAAATGTTCAGGTTCCTCTGCAATACCATGATCCTCAATACTACCTTTACTTCACATAGTACAGTAATAGATTCTGAATCAGGTTATAAGTGATTGCCTTTCCTAGAAGTATATCCTAAAGCCACAGAAAAAGTCTATACATTTTTCAATAATAATTTACAAAGGATATGCAAAGGAGAACGGCATTATAAAGTATAATTAACTCATAATTAATCTCAATGATTGATAATCCTTTAAAAACTGTAATAAACTGAAATATACGTGGAACAGTCATATTTATTTATTACATGAATTGATTTCTGCTTTGCAATGGTACACCATGGTAGCACTTTAAAGTGGAACAAAACTTACAATATATAAAAAATATTAGCAGGTGGAGTTTCAACTCTTTCCTTCCAGCTAACTATTCTATTAAACTGCTCATTGATTGCAGCGCATTCACACTGCAGAATACATTCCTGGTCTATGTGTGGCATCTGTAAGATGCTGGGAGTCACATTTGTGTGCAGGAATGATCGCAGGAGTTGTGTCATGCATGGTCAACCAATGGATGAAGGCAGCAGACTTACAACCAAGGAGAAGACTGGGAGGAGATGAAAGCAGTGGCAAAGCAGCAAGGGTAACATTGTGTTGTTGTAGAAGTACTAGAAGGTATGTCTGCCATAATGTGCATGTATACTGTGCTCTGCTGTCTGATTTATTGAAAAAAGTGCACTCCATGTATACCTCATATCTTATCTTCGCAGTTCTGTGAGTGAAGGACAGGCTGATGAATGAAAGGTCCATCTCTTCCAATTACGGAACACTATGCATTGTGGCAGTGGTATATTTAGGTTTTGTGCTGCCCTAGGCAACACATAAATTGGACACCCCCCCTCCTCCCCGGCAGAGAGAGAGCCTGACACCATGGGCAGCACAGTGGCTAAATGGTTAGCACTTCCGCCTGGCAGTACTAGGGCCACTGGTTCAAATCCCAGCCATGGCTCCACCTGCCTGGAGTTTGCATTGTCTCCCTGTGCCTGTGTGGGTTTCCTCCGGGTACTCCGGTTTCCTCCCACACTCCAAAGACATGCTGGTAGGTTCATTGGATCCTGTCTAAATTGGCCCTAGTATGTGTATGTATGAATGTGAGTTAGGGACCTTAGATTGTACGCCCCTTGAGGGTTAGGGACTGATGTGAATATACTATATATATGTAAAGCACTGCGTAAATTGACAGCGCTATATAAGTACCTGAAATAAATAAATACATAACACTAGACCTTTACAGCTCTGTGCATCCCTGGGAATGGCAGACAGGCTCTGCATACACCATCAAGCAGCCCGCAGCCTCTCTTGGATCCCACCTAGTCCCCATGCCGCATATGTCCTTTCTTCCAGGGGGCAGCCCCCCTAAAAAATGCCGCCCTAGGCAGATGCCTTGTGGTAAATACGCCCCTGGCATTATGGGAGCCAATTGTACAGGTGCTATGAATGGAGCACGAGGCAGAAAGAACAGCCATTGCTGGCACTTTTGATGAGTGCTTGTTACCCTCCAGCACTGGAAGATCACAACTGTGGGGGTATGATGATTTCTAGTGTAACAGCAGCACACAGGACACACTTTAATGCTGGGACGTAGTGACTACAAAAGGTTAAAATGCTCTTTTGCCTGCTATACGTCATTAGGGAGATTTCCCCCTCACTTCTTGTCCTGGTGACACAACAGGAAGTGAGAGAATATCTCTCCAAAATGAGGGAAACTGGCTTTTAGACAGTTGTCACCAAATCAACTGTCCTTATTGTGTAATTTGCCAATCTAAAAACTACAGTCAAACTTTGGATTACCTATCACTTTCAGTCCCAACAGCCACCAGAACAAACAGTGGGGACACAGCAATAAAAAAGCAGTCAGGGGTTCTAAGCCTTACCTACTATTTCTAAAACCTGAAAAATGGTTTTGTTTTAGGATAAGTTATATACTATAGATAACTGGAGTTGGGCTTTAACGAGTTCATCCCTCTGGATATACTACGTACGTCCAAAGAGTGAACCGTCAAGCGCAAGCTGATGGTCACAGTAGCAGTAGCCATCTTCTGACTTCAAAGTGAAAGTGGTGAGGCGGCTCTATATTTCCCAGAGCAGGCGGTGTGGTTTGCACTAAAATTAAATTTATTTTTTTTTCCCCTGAAACATTTGCGCTTAATAAAACAAATATCATGTAACATAAAAAAATGCAACAATCATATTTTTATTCTACAGGGTCCCTGCCTGCAGAAAATATATAATGTTGTTGGGGGTTATGTCATTTTATTGCCAAAAATGAAGATTTTTACACATGTGCAAAAAAGTAAAAAAACTTCTCTATAGCCGAACTAGTTAAAGAAAATCTTAATCTAAAAGGACAAAGTGATAGATTGCATTTAAGGTAAATATTACTTGCTTTAAACATCAGCTGAGCCAAAAGCAAATTGACTTTTATGCTTTATATTCAAATTTGTTCCTGGCATTTGTCTGGCGTACTTGTTTTTTGTTATCTCTTCTGCTCTGACTTGGAAATTCACAGATATAATTGTGACTGGGGATGAGCAGAACATACCCAGATTTTGTTCTGCAAACGTTATCAAAGCTCTGATTCAGAATCTGAACCCCATTGAAATGATTGGGAGACAAATGTTCATTTTCATTAATGTCCATTTTCAAAGCTAAAAGTCAAGGGCAGGGGCGGACTGACCATTCAAGCACTCGGACACTGCCCGAGGGCCCGGGGTCAGTATGGGGCCCCATGAAATGCTCCTGGTACCTTATATAGGCTTTTTTTGAGTGTGGGCAAGGACACAGGGGCCCCATGATCCCATATTGCCCGGGGGCCCCATGAGTTGTCAGTCCGCCCCTGGTCAAGGGACTGACAAAGAAAGGGCATGGGGGACCAGGCACTGGCCTTGGGTACCAAAGGAAAGAAAAAAATAAAAGTTATTGTTCAACAGGAAAAGGCCATTTTGGAGAAGTTCAAAGGGCAACATAAAAGATATTCAACTCCTTTAAATAACATACTTGATGGTTGCCTTAAAGCTGTAAGTGGAATTACAGAGCATTATTTTTTTATGTATTTATTGCTGCAAAAATTGTTGGCTCTACAGTATATAAATGCCTGTAAAAAATAAATGAAATAAACATTATGACTCTTGAGGACGTCAGTGACACCATACTCTAATATCACATAAATCGTATATATTGTGGGAACTCGCTTCAAAATGGTAGAGCTCTTCAAAGCACACAGCAACTCGCTTCTTTAAGGGCTATTTTTGCCCACTTTTATTTAACAGAAAAAGTTCCATAAACAAAAAATGCTTCCCACGCAGGGGTATCCACCATCAAGCAATACCAACAAAAGATTCAGCCTCCTGGCTTGTACACAGTTCACTGTCTGTCTCCTGCAAACTCTTCCCAAATTATGGCCACTAGCACACAGCTAGTCTGGCTTCCACCTGACTCCAAGGCAGAGACCTCCCGTCTGCCGGGGTGGAGCCCTCCTGACTCCGTTTGCCACGGTGGAGCCTCCTGACTCCGTTTGCCACGGTGGAGCCTCCTGACTCCGTTTGCCACGGTGGAGCCCAGAACTATGGTTAGGACTCTATAAAAAGGCCTGCACACACCTGTGCAATCAGTGACACCGCACTGCCACATATCCCCCCCTTTGTTTTGACCCCGTAGGGGGCGGAACACACAAACCTAAAACCCTTGCTTTAGACCTTCTGTGCGGGCTATCACCTGTGGAGGTCCAATCCTGGCTGACTTCGTTTTCATCAAAGGGAGACACTACTCCCTGCCCCAAGAGGTGACTTCCCCTGTCTCCCCTTACTTGCGCTCTACTACTTCCCCATGCCTTTTTACGAGTGTGCTTCCAAAAGCACGGTCTTTCTAATCTCCTTAAGCCTATGCTAGTCCTTTTACCACTAGGGGGTTTACAAATCTCAGTACCCTTTGTAACCTGGGGTTGACGCCTAAGCTTTAAGTGCCTGGTACCTGTAACATTACAACGTGCTCCCTCAAACTTCTCTAGACCATCCCTTTTTGCTTCATTTACTTTTACAGGGGATATATTTTTAAACCCTTTAGTAACAGACATGGGCTCTTTTATTGTGGCATCAAACTCTTTTAACATCCCCTTGTTAAGCTTTGGGCCATTTCCCTTAGACCTTTCATTCTTATAACTGGACCTTTGGAAAACTTTTCCAGAGTGACCTTCCCGACCCTGTAGGGGGCCTATTGCTAGACTCTTAACCTCTCTTGTGTCTGTTAAGCTCTCATTACCTCTTTCAGGATGACCAGCTACCATGTCAACTTGACCACCAGGTCTACCATTCTTTTTGTTATCACACATAGTAATCAGACAATCCAAATTCATCAACACATTTCCCTTTTTATCATTAGCCAAAAGACTCTTGTCAGAACTCAGTTCACTAGTAGTTGGCAGGGCAGCTTCTGGAGAGGAATCACACACAGCAGAGTGGGTGTCTCCCATGGAAACATCACTACCTATTGACTTCGCTGTCACAAAAGACTCTGCCAGCAACTGTCCTGATGCCAAACCATCCTTACATAATTCTGCATTTGGGTAGACGACCCCAACCACATCCCATATACATGTGTCTTCTGGCACTTCTGCCCAAAACTCTGTCCTGTCCAACAGTACTCTGGTGTGCCTCTCATACAGATTACTGCTATGAAGCAACCCAGCCATGCAGGTGGTATCACAGAATTCCTATATTGACCATCTTTGTTTTGTATAGCCTGTAATACCAAGCTTCGATTAGCGGGACTCCACTGTACCAGCTCTCCCGAACATGGAAGAGACAGCAAGGTATACACCGGCTCTACACTCCAGAAGGCTAACATTTCCTTCAGCAGGTCTGTTATAAAAAGACAGCCTGATTCCACACATAAGACTTTCCTGGAGACATGGAGACACTCATTTACTGATGCCTCAGAGGTGGTGCTTCTTAAAGAGGCTTCCTCTCGGCTGGAGGTACCCAATACAATAACCTGGGGCTCTCCCAAAGCGTAACCAGGTGTGGGATTCCCCCAAATACTCTGAGGCTCAGTGTCAATGAGCTCTTCCACATCTTCTCTATGGATATCAATTTGGTATACCACACCATTCATTCTTTTATGGGCTGTGAGCAAAACTTCTGCTGAGCGTTTATCCTCAACGGTGCCTTTTACCAGCAGTGGGTTAATTTCGGCAGCAACAGGTGCGCCCTGGACTAATAGCTGCTCCACCGTCCCTCTATTCAGCACAGCAGAAACCATGTCCACCCCATTGTTACCCACCGAGGCCTCTTTTATTAATGCCAACAAGCTTGTTGCCCATCTGTCCCAGTCCATCTTCCCTGTGATCCCATCAGAGGTACCACGCAGTACCACTCCAACCGCTGAAGGAGACACAGAGGGACAGAGTGGCTCTATATCACACCCATTACCTATATCTTCATTATCCATATCACAATGGGAGACTCCTTTTCTAGGCACAGCAGGTTGCAATTTCCTACTCTCACCACCGTGACCTAGTGGCGTGTCATTCACTACAAAAACCTTTGCATTAGTGGATTGCATTAACCCATCATCATTATGAATACGTTCATACCTTTTAGATTCACCATTACCACACTGAAATAACAAATTCTCAACACTCAATTCAGATACACTCTGGTCCACCCGAGCAACACCATAGTTATCCTGGGTTACCTTAACCACCGTTGCTAGGGGAGATAACACATCCTGCTTAGTGGTCACCCCTACTACATTTAATTCAGCATTCTCTTTAGAGGACATTGGTGCAACCCCAATATCAGTACTCTTCACATTGACATTTTTAACCGTTGCCTCCCCACTAAAAGCATTACACAGAGGCAAGTCTTTCTCACAATCACCAGCAGTGGGTTTCCCAACTGGGAGTATCCCAAATTTATAGCAGAGAGTCTCAAAGTCAGTCTCAATCAGTGCATTAGTATCTCTCATATTTATCTCAAAAGTACCAGTCTTACCCACCACTGTAACAGGCTTCACCTTCACTTGAGTGCGTGGGATCTGGATCCTTTCTGTCATCTCCTCCGCTTGGCTTTGGCCAGCCAGTTCATCCATGCAGCTATAGGATGATACTGTGGCAGGCACTTCTGACTCCTTGGCACCCCCTGCAGGCACAACAGGTACTTCTTCACTGTTGCTAGGGGTGGCTGCCAACATTTTTAAACACAAATCTGGGCTTGCAGATGAAGACTTTTGCCCAGTAGCACCCTCAGTGGTATTCCATAATCTGGGGTAGGTAAAGATACCATGCCCAAACTGACCACATTCCAGGCAGGGTATGGTTCCACCGATAACCTTCTTGGGATACGGAACCACATCTCCCTTGTAGCCCCTTCTCCTGGTTGGCAGGCTTTCTCCTGTTGCTATGGGAGATGGCACTCTCCCAGCTGAACTTTGTGAGTTCCTCCAGTTGCGCTGAACTCTCATCTCTGCGTTGCCACAATCCTCTGTAGATGACACTTCTCTCACAGGGTCCGCAGGTCTGAAGTCACATGTGTTGCTATGGGGCAACCACATTCTTCTGGAACTTTTGGGCAACCTGCTGCTCCTTCCTAGAACTCCAAGCAGGCTTCCCATTTGCATACCCAGACCTTTGTCTGGTTGTGTCACCTTGTACTGGAAGTTGGGATAATGGGCACTTGGAGACAGTGTGCCCCCATTCACTGCACCGCAAACAGCGCTCTTGCGGCAGTATCTTGGCCGAACTTCCGACACTGCATCCTCTTTCAGGCTTAGTACTCTGCACACAGAAAACTGGTTTCCTTTCACCAGCATTGCCAGGGACAACAGCATGCACTTCCCACTGTGGCAAACTCTGTGCAGCCATGTATGGGGCTTGTTCTGGTGGTAACAACCCCTCCAGCCACAGGGCTCTGTCTCTCATTTCAGAAAATCTTGCTTCTTTTTTGAGTTTTGACCACCCCATCTTTGCAGTCACTCCACAACAATTTTGCACAGTCCAGCAACACAATGGAGCACTGTCTCTTTAAGGCAAGTTCCTTTTCTCTTGCAGGATCTCCTCACCTGCACACACAGATAGTGCAGACTCATGCACCAAACACAGTTCAACACATGAACTTACTTCCTTGCTGGGATCTCTAGTTATGCCCGCATCCTCCACCATATGTGGGAATTCGCTTCAAAATGGTAGAGCTCTTCAAAGCACACAGCAACTCGCTTCTTTAAGGGCTATTTTTGCCCACTTTTATTTAACAGAAAAAGTTCCATAAATAAAAAATGCTTCCCACGCTGGGTATCCACCATCAAGCAATACCAACAAAAGATTCAGCCTCCTGGCTTGTACACAGTTCACTGTCTGTCTCCTGCAGACTCTTCCCAAATTATGGCCACTAGCACACAGCTAGTCTGGCTTCCACCTGACTCCAAGGCAGAGACCTCCCGTCTGCTGGGGTGGAGCCCTCCTGACTCCGTTTGCCACGGGAGCCTCCTGACTCCGTGGTGGAGCCTCCTGACTCCGTTTGCCACGGTGGAGCCCAGAACTATGGTTAGGACTCTATAAAAAGGCCTGCACACACCTGTGCAATCAGTGTGCTGGGGGTTCTCAAAACACGGACCCCGGATTGGAGATTTCATCCCTCCCAGATCTCTTTGAAAT